CAGACGAAAACTTGCGATAGACGACGTTTTTACTTTTTGGTCACAAAAAAAACAAAACGCACGGGGGCTTTACTCGCTTGTCGAGGCGCCACTTGCTATAGCTCTGTGATTAGATCTCTCCCGACCCCTTCTTTCCGCCATAAGATGTTTATGCGTACGGTGAATAGTTTGCGAGATATTTCGATTGCACAACTTACCCGTATGCTCAACTAGCCCCGCCCTACCCTACTGCATATGTTAGTAAATTGCCGCTATATTATTTAATACACATTTTTTTTCCAAATATTATGATTTCATTTTCAAAATAGATACTAATTTTCCAAAACATTATTAAAATAGTCTTAGTTGCAATTCGGATGATATGTATGAAAAAAATATGAAAATAGAAAATTAACAGATAGATGAAAAGACTAATATGTACATAATGTATTATGTAGAAGCAGTTGAAAAGAAGATAATGGCAAATTCATGTTAATCGAATTCAACAAATCAACTTAATAAATTATTTTTTGAATCCGATTTCATTGAGCTCGAATTTCCCGCAAACGACTAATTAGTAATTAACACGACCTAACGAGCATTCTTTAAGTAATTGACGATTATCGAAATGTTTTACTGAAACTAAAAAGTCGCTCGACCAAGGTCTATGGTAGATTCGACCCAAATAAATATAAAAAAATACTTTCTGTGTATCTAGTACAGATATAATTTATTTCACCACGTATAGACAGTACGCGTACATAAATTTCATTTAACCCATAGCGCATAGGCATAATACGCGATATCGAACTGTACGGTAACTTTATGGTGTATTTAGATGGGTGTACAAACGTCATCGATGTTAAGTCTGGTGCTCCTTGACATCGATATTTTTTCTTAGTGGAGATGTGGGTCCGGCTTATAAACTTTTTTAAAACGAATAAACGCAAGTTTACAATATTGTTAATATACCTACTGTTGTTAATGTTAGATAAAAATGTTTAAAGGCTTATGAAGTTCAGTTTAACATGACTTATTAATTATACAGGCTATATTATAGAGTAGGTACATATGTACATCTATAAGTATCTACTAAAATATCTACATCTTACAGTAATATGTAAATTACTATAGATAGGTATTACTGAAATTTTAAATACTAGACATATGTACATATACATAAGCACTGCATTTCCTTAATTAGATGATTGGTTCATGCAGTAAACTACATATTAAAATTTAGTATAGGTAAGTACATTTGATTTTATAGATGTGGTAAATTTTATGGATTAATGTGTTTCAGTGAAACTAGGTATACATACAGGGTGTTCGAAAAATAGATGAAGAGGATATTTTAGAGGGCGATTCCTTGTAAAAAGAGGAAAAAAAACGGTATCTTGAAAACTCTGCATTTCCGGCCCTATGTTTCTGGAAACATTTATGGAAAAATATAACTGATTTTTCAAACACCCTGTAAATTAATTTACTGATAGTCCGGAGTATGTTACATTTAATTAAATAGGTATAGGGTAGGTAGGTATAAGGTAGGTGTATACTGAAAATTATACTGAAAATTTTCTACTGAAAATTTGCATACTCTACCACAAGTTAAGTAATAATTATTTTAATTACATATTTGTTGGTTTTGGGATTGTATATGGTATGAGCAGTGAGCACTGATGTAATTAGTTGAAAATAAACTATTTTATTAAAAAATTAAAATTAATCATCATCATCCTCATCATCATCATCATCATCATCATTATCCAATAGTGCAGAGTCCAGTAGTCTAGACTCTAGAGTGCAGTATCCTTAATATTATCAAATATCTACTAAAAAATATTTCAAATGTATATCATGTAAAAGTAATGTTATCATAATTGAATAAATATAATGATATACTACAATACAAAGTTTAATTGTTAACTTTTTATTTTATTACCTTCACTGCTTTCGTTTATAAAATCTTTGCAGTAATGCCTAAAGCATTTATCCAAATAAATCAGGTAACACCCTCCATTACCCTCTACTCTCTTTGCTCTCTCTGCCTAAATTAGGTAAATCTTCACTGGCCGTGGAAATAACTCCGAAAATTAAATTTCTCGATAAGCATACATATAAATTTACATCGGAAAATTCCCGTTTAGCTCACCCTTCAATGTGAGAATTCCCCTAAATTCGGAAGATTATACGATAAATAAAGTGCTCGATTTGGAGTTTGGAGAATTATTTTATTACATACCTATTAGCTAAATGGATTTGAGAGAGTTTTTTGTAAAATTAGAATCTAATTCAGCATAGGTCGTAGGTATAGAGAAAGAATAAACAAAAAACCCGAATTAAGAAATTTTCTAATTAATAAATAAACACCAAGCAAGCAAATGAGACAATCTAAAACCAGATAATCTCTTTTGGGTCCAAATCCTATAAGACCTAACTGCTAAATAATTCGGAGCAAACCGAAAACTTTCCATCGAGCCCTTGTCTCTCGGCTATCCTTATAACAAAGGATAATTGCAGAGATTCCAAGAATGCTATATTTAATTTATATCTCACCGGACTCAGTGGCACATTCGGGAAGTATTTGTTTTCTTGGTCGTCCTTGCTTGTCGAATATTGCAAGGAAAACCGAAGTTGCCTCTGTTAACGATTAAAAATTCAACGGGTTTCTCGAGAAACTTCTAAATTAGTTTCAGGAAAGATGTCAATAACAGGAAGCGATATACAGTTTAGAGTGTCAAGGAAGTATTTAATAGTTAATAGGTGCATATATTTTAGATGGATAGAAGTTATTTTGGAGAGTATTATAAGAATAAATTTATGTCATATTAAGAAAAGCAATAAAAATCATCGTTTCAATCACTGACTTTTTCAAGAAATCCTTTATGTTGCACGATAATGTATAGAAGTAATAAATTTTTGTGAAGGCCATACTTATGTCGTGTTTCGAGCTGAAAAAGTGTCCAATTATTGTATTTCTTTTTATTTAGGCACAGCATTATAACCATAACCTATCGTATAAACTCCATTATTTCCCTGAATAAATCAATTTTGTTCAATTTTGATGCTCAGCCTCCATAAGAGCTGCACAGTGGTTGGACTTCAAGACTATCGGAACAAAAGAAAATTTTATGATTTTAAATTGTGTAAATTCAAATATTGTCTTTCATTTTTACTAAATGAACTACTAGATGCCTTCTGTGAAAAAATGTTTTTGGACAATATTACAATTTTAGAAATTTCCTAAATATCCGTAAAATCTATGAAGAAATTAATAAAGTAATATAGTGTCAAATTTTGAAAAATTGAGATTTCCCTAGGGGTTTTAAATATCAAATAAAATTTAATTAGAAATACATACCTACCTATTAAGTATCTATGTTTACGCAAAAATTAATTGATAGTTTAACTATAGGTGCGAAGAATCGACTGCATATCTAAATCATATATGGATACTTTTAATAAACTGTCCAGCATCAATAATTTGGACCACTCGAAGACGAAAAGGAATATTCCATCCCACATGAAACTTCTTCGTAAACAAATTTTCTTTGAAAAAAAAAACGGCGGAAAAACAAAACAAAAATGACATGTTTACCAAGGACAACAACATCGAGTAAAATCCTCCTAGTAATAAAGGGTGGTTGGAGCTGATTTTATCCCTTCCTGCACAAAGCGGACAAAAAGGAAAGGGAATGAATAGAACATTACAGAATTTCTGTTCGATTTGTTCGATTGGACTTTCGTACTAATGTAGAGTTGATGTAGCAAAACAAAACAAAAAAGTATAGTTATGTTAGTAAAATTCAAAAATATCTATGTGTTATGACAATTGCAAACCAAAATACAAATTAATGTAAATAAGTATCTACTAAGGTACTTATAAAACAACAATAGTTACAATGATGTCGACATGGAGCAAAACTTAATATAAAATAATACCTATTTCACATTTTACGACTTTGCTGTAAGTTATAAAATTTTCTCGACTGCAAATTTATTGTTCTAATTAGAAGCTTGCCGGCGAGATATTAACAAATTTATTAACTTCAGTTATGGTAACTTTCACCTCTTAATCCGTCTAAACTCGAGCTTACCCATCGAATCCTGTCTACCATCGCTTCCCGCTCCCGCTTCTCCTTTTTTCCACTCTTCCCTTTCCACGCCCGATTATCCGGGACTGTCTGACTAACCAGTCCAATTGCTCAGTTGTCAAATTTCTTATACCAAAAAGTTACATCTATTTTATCATCCATTCAATTACGATGAATACAATATAAAGAATTAAACATTTTATTTATATCGAAAACAATCGCCTTATTAACCAGTTTGCTGTTTAAGTAAGTTCAAAAATTAACCTCTGGACGAATTTCCATATTTTTTAGTTAATAGGAGTTTAGGTAACTTTGCTGATAAAAGGTAAACGCTGGCAACTCCGTATATCCAGGGTTGGAAATCGAACGTGGGAGAACCTTCCCTAACCTAGGGGTAGGTCGGGAGACTGACGGTCAAGGTCAAGGGCGCCAGACATGGCCGCGCTCATCCCCATATTTTACCGCCCCTCGAGCTACCGCCCCCACTTACTTTCACTAACAGTCTGCCGGCGAGACAGATATTTCTAACAGCCGATGTAATAAAAAGGAAGGAAATTAGAGCGAGGAAAATATATTACCACTACGAATGATCAATCAGTTACACCAGATCAATTTTAAGAACTATTTTATGGGTGCTTCCTAATAATTTTGATCTACATCTATTTATCAAAATTAATAAATTTAATTATATTTTGCAGGAATTTTCCATGCTCCCACTCCAAACCTCCAGCATTTTGCCATTATTCATCCTCTTATTCAGCAACCAGGATCGTCTTTACCTATCGAAATTTCCATTACGACACAAAATTCCCAATCTTTATGTCAACCCAACTAATTGAATTTAACGAGATATTTAGGCACAAATAGACCATATTCCGTTTCGTCGAGTTGATTAAATTAAATTTCACCCCTTTCAAAACGAGTTCGTTATTCTCTGATTCCAGACCTGCTGCTCTTTCCACGAGCCGACGCGCTCTCTCCATTTTCCGACCTCTGTCTGTTTTCCCTGCTAACCTTGAACGCTGAACGATCGAACGAACGACCCAGAAGGCCGCTGCTCACCAGCTCGTCCGCCATGTTCTGGAAAGAACCATCGTTCAACGAGCATAGGCTCGCTCAATCGCTCCCGACAAACACAATGTTGCCGTGTCGATAAAATCAGAAGATGTACTGAAAAATCAACAGGTCGCTATTGGCGATGAGCCTTCCTAAAGAATCGATAAAATGATGTATGAGTATTATAGAAGGTATCCGGAAATTTATTATTCTATTAGCATTAATTTTCTTGTAACTTCATACATTCGCTCAATAAGGGTAGGTAGGTACGTAAAGTTTTAACAAATTCCCATAAATAACTTATATACGATAAATGGGAAATAGCAATAAATTTGCTTCGAATAACAAAAATGATAAACGACTCGGTGGAAATAAATCAAAAAAACATCACAATCATGGGTCAAAAAATCCAATTTTGGCCCTTAATTGGCCAATTTCACGTTATGTTAAACCGTTCCGGAACATCGACTTTTTGAATTAAGATTTGACACTTTGCGAGGAATTCCATAACACAAAAATTCCCTCGATCGGTGATATTTTGATTTAGTGCCGGTGTCAAACTGATGGGCTACTATTTGCGGCCTCGACAGGTTCACACGATGGCGCTACGGATGATTGAAATACATCCCTAGAAGTGTCTCAGATTACGCCTGGAAGGCTACCTAATAGATCTTAATAGGGTCCAAATGTTTGATATTTTACTATGTTCTCTAATGAAACATAATATAAAGTAACTTGATCAATATGGACAGATTAATTAATTATTTCACTAAGGACAATACGATATCTAATGTAAACAGCTATAAGGAAATAGCTGGAGAAACAATAGGTAAAAAATGATTGGAGCAAAGTATTGGAAACCCCGTATCGAGCATGTGAGATATTTTTCTGGTATCTATGGTATCTATTGATTCTAAATATTAAAGATGAATCAGAAGGTTTGGAACCAATATCGAATAATACAGATGCACTTCAAGTTTAATTTCAGTACTCTTAGCCACTTCTTAAGTAAAGTGCACAGGTGCACTAGACGAGCGACAACCGTAACAAGGCGTGCCGTTAGTGCCCTTTTTGAAACCCGATACATGGAATCTTATTTCAGCAGAGCATTTTTCCGATGGCTTCTGGCGAAAGAATGTTTAGAAACTTCTTCATAGAAGTCCCCGAGGAGCGCCCCAGTCAATGCGTGTGGCAGACGTGAATATCTCCGTGGAACGATGAGATAAAAAGTGTGTAAAAAAGGTCTATTTATAAGGAGGTGATTTAATTTTTATGCAAATTCATGACCGGGGAGGTTAACTGTAGTAAATTTCTTACAAAGAGAAGTTGAAAAATGTAAGTACTTACGGTTAAAGTGAAAAGGAAAATTCAACTCACCTGAAAAGGAAAAAAACAATTAGATATAAAAAATTATTATTAGAAATTTGTTAAATAAATTAAGCGTTTGAGAATATTTTCTGGGAATTAAGGAAATGAATTCAAAATAATATTCTTATCCAAGTAATCACAATGGTTATTTTAATGACTACTATGATTATCAACTTATTAACTTAACTTTGCAATTTGTCATTCAGTAATAATTCGATTTACTTTCTTTTAACAGTATGTTTAAAAAATACGCTGGAAATGTAATTTAGAATAATTTTTAAATAACTATTTCCAACGTACAACCAACGCCTGATCTAAATGCATTTGCAAAGGAGTTTTTTTTATTTCTAACAAAGCAAACGGTTTTTAATGGAAATCGGTAACAGCACTGTTCTGTAAATTGATATTTTGAGACATTTAATTTTTTTGACCCAATTCATGCGGATATATCAGTTGCCAAGCCCACTTAATGCAGTTTTACTTTCATTGATTTTTTTCCAGAGGTGTGATTTATGAAGCCGATTGCAGAGTATGTTTTATTACATCATCATGATTGGAGATATAACTGTACCTAATTGCAAGAATTCTTTGACAAATTCGCATTCTTTTTCAGAGTGCAAAATGTATCTATTGTTATTTTTTTATAAATAATTATATACTGTTATTTTATAGTCTAGAATAAAAACTTATTAATACAAAATCCTATACATAACTAATAGGAATAATAAAATAATTGAAATCAATAGTTAATATATTATTATAAATTATAAGATTTACTATTACCTGTGTCTAGTAATTAGGTTAAAATTGGAAATAACTGTTGCATTTATAGCGCGGTTTGCAGAATTCGACTTATAAATTAAGTTTTCCACAAAATCCTCAAGATTTATCGATTTATCACAGCATCAAATGAAAAATTGACCCACTTAAGTGACTATTTTTATTCCGACACCAACACAAACAGAATTATTATTTAACTCGACATGCCGTATTGCGAAAGATTTTGAATGGGATTGACCCATTATCAAAAATTTAAAGGAGTAACTTGGCTAAGATTTTCAAAAAAATAAGAGATTACCTACCAATCGTTTATCTCTTTTTATGAAAAAACATATGTAGGGAAATATAAATTAATTCCCGGTTGCATAAAATTATTGTTGATGCAACGCTTGCTGATTTCTAGTAGGAATACCGTGTCGGTGAAGTAATTTTTAAACAATTTTGCAAACAATTGCGAAAGCTAAAGACACAATTGACCTTTTTTTGAATAATCATTGTACTGATGGTGCAGGAAGAATACAAATTAGCCGCATAAATAATTGATCATGGCATTAGGTGTACTTTTTCTTTGCGGTTTTTTCGCGGCTTGGTATTCCCTGTTACTGATTTCCAACTACATTTATTCGAGAATTACTTAACAACTAAATTAATAAACAGATATACATTTTAGTGAATTTTCCGGTAACAGCCTTCATAGCAGAGTATGATTGCTTTATTCTTAAATAAACTTCAAAAATAGGATCGTACAATGCCCGCGTTTCATTAATTTCGACATCATCATACGAGACAAACGCGATGTTTATCGAACCAGCGATTATTTTGATACAATTTCGAAAAATTAGGCATAGTTTGCCAAAATCAAAATTCCCTGACCCTCTTTCCGACATTCCCAACTAATTTCATTCACTTAGCAAAACATTTATAATTTACTCATCAAAGTCGTCAGTCTGTCTTTTGTTGGAAGACAATCAACAGTTTGAGATTTTCATTAACAGCGGCGCCGATTGAATAATAATAAGAATAATAGCAGAACCTGCAAAGATGTTAAAACATGATAATTAGAAAAAAAATTTATCTAATCAATCTCTAAAATTTCTTAAGTATTTGCTATAAATCCCATTAATATAGAAAAATATGTACTACTGTTGAAACCTGTATCGATGTGGAAGAGTAGAATTTATAAAGTAAAAAGCCGCTAAAAGGCGGCTTTCTACACTTCCCTAAGGACTATCAAAAAAAAACCTACATTAGCGACCTATCACCCGAAACTCTAAATCTAATAGTCCGCATGTGTTTACGTCTTTCTGGCAAAACGCCGCCTGTCGTTCCTCGACTATTTTTTCTTCCCTTTCGAAGATATAAACATCCCTTTCGATTGGCCTCTATGCAAAAGTCACGCACCGAACAAGGGCGGTATTTAGTTGTCGACTTTTTTAAAGGAATTTTTATATTTCCGAGGAGAAATGTTTTGAAAACGCCTTTCCTCTTACCGAAACTTCGAATCAACGGGGAGGAAATGCGTGAGTGCTGCTCGAGGGTGTCCTCAAACATATGTGCTTGTTTTTGGATGAATAATGGACGTATTATGTAGATTATTGCCTTTTTTAGGTGGTCTTTTGATTGATGTTAGATACATGCTTGGTATGCTTCAAATTATGGATAAGCCGTATCTGACGAAAAATTAAGTTTTTGTCAATAAGTTAGTCAAATTCAATGGTAATGTAGAAATTATGCAATAATCGTCATTCGTCTTCTGTATTCTTATTGCAGATTTGCAATTAACCTTTTTGACTACTAGATAACGCAATGAGAACTACGTAAATTCCCATTAGCATTTCACTGGTATTTAATACCGTATATGGCTCAATCTGTCTTATTTATACTCTCAACTGTCGATTAAATTTATGTACCTATACATACACAGTGACACTATAAAAAATCACTTATTGGAGTCTTAAATTAATTGTCCTTATAATTAATACACATCTTTATAGGTGCGTAACTCTTAACCAAAAACATATAAGAAATATGAATGCAATAATTTCCCAGCGATTTATTCATTCAGCACTATCACTCTGTACAGTGCTACATATACTAAGGATTTACGCGTTTCTATACGTATGTATAGTATGTGGTGAGTATTGCTCAATAGATTGTCCGAGGTGTTAGCCTCGTCCTGGATTGTTTTGATTGTTTGTTGTTTATCCGGCCAGGCCAAGTCACTCCGGCCAGTGGCTTGGTTTTTAAAACGAATCACGTCCGATGTTCAACCAGCAACTATTAATTTATTATAACTATTTAGATAGAAATGAATGATAACCTAATAGAAAACGACAAGCCTAGATTCCCAAAATAAATTTAAAAATTATCACGTAATAATATCATTCGGTATATTGCTAAGTATGTAACGTAAAAAAATAAAGTAACTACTTGTTTTTTCTATACCTGTATCATGTAGACATCTACTGCTAATAAAGGGAAAGGAACATATGTATTTGGAAATATAGTAAATTGCTAAATGCTATAAACACGAGAATTAAATGATCAAAGACACATAATATTGAGCTCCTTTGAAAATAAGATGTTACCCAATTATTGCGCTCACTGATTGCCCAAGTATATTAAGGATGAGTTATATCTCAAATGTATTGAAGCGTGCGTTAAATATCCTGTAGTTACCCCTAAACACGGCTCACTTCATATATTTATATTTTTAAGTCTAAATATTTTATAAATTTATCTCAGGTGACAATAATAATATATTTTCAAATTTGAAATAATTCAGGATAATATTACGACTTTGTAGGTACCTTTCGCAATTCGTTTTATAAAATATTTTATGTCTGATCTGTAATTTAGCGTTAGACATATGTGGG